TAAGCACATATATATAAATGTGCTGAGCAAAAGATATACATAATTTTATACCCATGCAGTGCTACCTAATGCGTGACACATACTTAAGAAGAAAGTGTAAAAGAAATGATTCATGTAGGATGGATACCACAGTAAAATTTATGCCGACAAAAATGAGAAATTGTGTCCATTTCTTTTATGTATCATTTATCCTTGCTATTATCACTGACATCCTAATTTTGTAGCAGGAAAAAAATCAAAAATAAAGAGAGAAGGGTACTAGGGTAAGTACAGAGACTTTTACATGCACAGGAAATGTTTACCATCAAATTCTCTTATGTAGTCTAACTATTTATAAAAGCTTAAAAGGTGCAATAAAGCATCATTCTCTTGGATTTTTTTGTCATATCCAGAAGAAATTTAATCTTGGCACATATTTTTAAAAGAAATAATTCAGGATAAATCCTCTTAAATGCATTGTATGCAGTGAATATCAAATTGATAGGCCAATGGTTTTGTCAGATTTACTTTTGATACTGTCAATCTTGATAAAATGAATCTGTGATAAGTCATCTGTTTTGATTTGCAATTCAATCAACCTTTCAATTACTTTAATTGTTAGTGTTTCTAAATCATAGATTAAATCCTTTCCAGCACAATTAGTGAGCCTCAAATCCAGTATCACGTTTGAAGCTAAATTTTACTGATAATTAAGTCTGTAATATTATTATTAGTCGTGAGATGTCTGAGACCTACAGTGTATTGCTTAAAGTGTCAATTTTAATGTTAGAAGGAAAGTAAATAGTAGGTTTTGAACCTGAAAACCGACTTTTTGATACAGATGTGACACAATTTAAATCTGCTACAGTAATTATTGAATTAGATTAAAATATTTTGGTTGAAACATTTTTTCCTCTTCATTTGATAAAAAATCGAAGGGGGGGGGGTCCAAATTTTAATCATATGAAATTATTTTCGAGAAAAAAATCGAACGCTTTTATGCATTGTTATTTGGTCTTTCCACCTTTCTGTGGAAAGAGAAACCTTGTTATCGCTACTCCTCCGAAATCGTAAACCCTAGAGGTATGAAACCTTCACCAATGTCTTCGACTAATTAAGGAGACTCTTCAGTGTATTCATTGCGAAAGAATTCGTCAACCCCTTAAATGAGTTATTGCCCCTAGAAGTTTATAAAGTTTACAAATAATGAAAAATTTTCTAAATGACAAGTCGTAGAGACGACATGGGACCAGCTGCATTAGGTTCTTCAACCTTTGACTTTGAAATATAGGTCAAGGTCAAAGTTCAAGGTCATTCAAATATGAGCTCTTTTAATATCTCTTTTCAATTGTTTTCAATATTTCTAATATGTCTTTGCACCTTTAATATGTCATTTTAAAACTATTTTAAAGATTTCCTTCTTGTCCCCGAAGATTGACCCCTTTAAAAGTTATTGCCCCTTTCACTATAAACCTTGTTATCGCTACTCCTCTGAAACCATAAACTATAGCGACAAGAAACCTTCACTAATGTCTTAAGCTTCTCTTGACAAAACTTCAATCTATCAGTGCGAAAGGATTCCTTGACCCCTTATATGAGTTATTGCCCTTTTATATCTTTGCACTTACCATTAAAGCCTAAAACTTTTAAACAAATACTCGTAGAAACATGGAACCAACTGCTATGTGATCCTTGATCTTTGATCTTGAAAATTTTGTCAAGGTCAAAGGTCATGGTCACTTAAATTTTTTGAAAAATTTCATTTTTACGAACTTTTAAGGCATTTCTCGTTTCTTTCTTTCTTTGAAATTTAACTACAGAGAGTTAAATATGAAAAATAAATGAAATTTAAAAAAGGTGGAAGGACCTCTAATTGTTCGAGTACAATTAGTCTACTAGTTATTTAATTGCAGTGTTTCACATCTTAAATATATTCAATTAAATTAAATCAAGCAAATTAAATTAAATGGGCCAGTTTATATCTCATCAGATAATATTCATACATGTATATTCAAATAAGATAATATTCAAATGCTTTGATGAGTTTTATGCAACGAAATTTATAAATCAGTGTCTAATTTGGATTCAGTCGTCTTCATGATGTAGATTTTCGTCACATACTTTGAATCTTGATGAAGTTATTTCGTGATAATATTTATTAATAACAACAATTTCAAACATGATTCAGTTAAAAGTTTATTATGATTGTTAAGTAGTTCAAATATCATAATTAGAGTCTTAACTTCTTTTGGCTCAATTTAATTAAATTCCACGCTGACTGAAATTTTACATGTTCAAGGCATGTGGTTTATGCCAAGTTACAAAATTAAGGTATGGGGTTTCAATTTCGATATCCGCCGAAACATGGCTGAAATATTGCCAACTCGGCGTTAGAACAATAAACAATCAATTTCGATAAATACATGTATTTACTAAAAAAAAATAAATATTTCTGTGAAGTTCTTTCAAAACGCTATCAACCTACAGTTTTAGTCTGATTTCAACAAAACATGGTAGTCTTTTTAGCTCACCTGAGCTGAAAGCTCAAGTGAGATTTTCTGATCACCCGTTGTCCGTCGTCCGTCCGTCTGTCCGTCTGTCCGTCCGTCCGCCTGTCCGTCCGTCTGTAAACTTTTCACATTTTCGACTTCTTCTCAAGAACCACTGGGCCAATTTTAACAAAACTTGGTACAAAGTATCCCTGGATGAAGGGGAGTTTAAATTATTAAAATAAAGGGCCAAGTCCCCTTACAAGGGGAGATAATCAAGAAAAGACAAAAATAGGGTGGGGTCATTAAAAAATCTTCTTCTCAAGAACCACCGGGCCAGAAAAGCTGAAACTTATGTGGAAGCATCCTGGGGTAGTGTAGATTCTAAATTGTTAAAATCATAACCCCCGGGGGTAGGGCGGGGCCACAATAGGGAATCCAAGTTTTACATTGAAATATAAAGGAAAAATCTTTAAAAATCTTCTTCTCAAGAACCACTGGGCCAGAAAAGCTGAAACTTATGTGGAAGCATTCTTGGGTAGTGTAGATTCTAAATTGTTAAAATCATGACCCCCGGGGTAGGGCGGGGCCACAATAGGGAATCCAAGTTTTACATTGAAATATATAGGAAAAATCTTTAAAAATCTTCTTCTCAAGAACCACTGGGCCAGAAAAGCTGAAACCCTTGTGGAAGCATCCTTTGGTAGTGTAGATTCTCAATTGTTAAAATCATAACCCCCGGGGGTAGGGCGGGGCCACAATAGGGAATCCAAGTTTTACATTGAAATATATAGGAAAATTTTTTAAAAATTATCTTCTCAAGAACCACTGGGCCAGAAAAGCTGAAACTTATGTGGAAGCATTCTTGGGTAGTGTAGATTCTAAATTGTTAAAATCATGACCCCCGGGGGTAGGGCGGGGCCACAATAGGGAATCCAAGTTTTACATTGAAATATATAGGAAAAAATCTTTAAAAATCTTCTTCTCAAGAACCACTGGGCCAAAAAAGCTGAAACTTATGTGGAAGCATCCTTGGGTAGTGTAGATTCTAAATTGTTAAAATCATGACCCCCGGGGTAGGGCGGGGCCACAATAGGGAATCCAAGTTTTACATTGAAATATATAGGAAAAATCTTTAAAAATCTTCTTCTCAAGAACCACTGGGCCAGAAAAGCTGAAACTTATGTGGAAGCATCCTTGGGTAGTGTAGATTCTAAATTGTTAAAAATCATAACCCCCGGGGGTAGGGCGGGGCTACAATAGGGAATCCAAGTTTTACATTGAAATATATAGGAAAAATCTTTAAAAATCTTCTTCTCAAGAACCACTGGGCCAGAAAAGCTGAAACTTATGTGGAAGCATCCTTTGGTAGTGTAGATTCTCAATTGTTAAAATCATAACCCCCGGGGGTAGGGCGGGGCTACAATAGGGAATCCAAGTTTTACATTGAAATATATAGGAAAAATCTTTAAAAATCTTCTTCTCAAGAACCACTGGGCCAGAAAAGCTGAAACCCTTGTGGAAGCATCCTTGGGTAGTGTAGATTCTAAATTGTTAAAATCATAACCCCCGGGGGTAGGGCGGGGCTACAATAAAGAATCCAAGTTTTACATTGAAATATATAGGAAAAATCTTTAAAAATCTTCTTCTCAAGAACCACTGGGCCAGAAAAGCTGAAACTTATGTGGAAGCATCCTTGGGTAGTGTAGATTCTCAATTGTTAAAATCATGACCCCCGGGGGTAGGGCGGGGCACAATAGGGAATCCAAGTTTTACATTGAAATATATAGGAAAAATCTTTAAAAATCTTCTTCTCAAGAACCATTGGGCCAGAAAAACTGAAACTTATGTGGAAGCATCCTTGGGTAGTGTAGATTCTAAATTGTTCAAACAGGACCCCCCGGGGAAGGGCGGGCCACAATAGGTATTACAAGGGGGGGGGGGAAATCTGGTAAAGAACAGCATGGCCAAAGTTACTCAGGTGAGCGATGTGGCCCATGGGCCTCTTGTTATCAGTTTTGTCAAAGCTATAAAAATGTTGAAATCATTTTTAAAATTCTACTTATCTTATAGTTCTTGAGTTGATTTCAACAAAACTTGGTAGAAGTTTAAGAAATATCAGCATACACGATTCTGTAAATATGAAACTAAAAGAACAAAAGATGTCCAAGGCTATGTGATACTTTTCTCTTCCGTTACTGTAAGTGCAAACCAGTAGAACATCAGTCTCATTAGAAACCTATGTGTTTTTATCAGTTTATGTGGATACAACAGCTTTGTGGAGGATAAACTGGACACAAGCTTAAGCAGGTTGATTTTGTATTTAATAAAGGTATTTTCTTTTTCTTTTCGCTTGCCCTTTTATTTGTAAAATGCGACACTTGAAAAAAAAATACATGTATATATAAAATAAAATAAACAGTGTGTAAAATTCGTTTTTATTAGAGCAAAAATTCTTTATGGTACAATTTATAAACATAACGATTATATCTTTGTCCTTGTCATTACGTGAAACCATTTCATCAGTTTAAGTTACATAAAGAATTTCTTCAGCCTATTTTGAAAAGCTTCAGCCACTCTGTGGAGGCATCTCATACATTTTTTTGTTTTGTTCTTTTGAACTTGATTCAGAATATCTTGCAGTAATTCTGGCACATTATAGTTAAAAATCAATGATGTTTCAAAATACTGGCAAGTATGAAAGTTGGCAACTCTGATAGCATCTGAAAATAGAGACCAAAAATAATCAAACAATAAAAATGAAAAATAGAAAATATTTATTTAATCGTTATTCTCAAAAAAGTTTTCAACACCTCTGACAAACAGCTGACAGTTTCTAAAGGATTTTTAATGGTAACATACCATTTGGAGAAACTTTACGATGGCGAATCAAGTCAGATTTGTTTGCCACAAGAAATATGGGCAAGTCTTCTCGATGACTTTTTCTTATGTTCTGAATGCAGTGTTTAGCAAACTGAAACGATGCTTTATCAGAGACAGCGAACATAACAACACAGGCGTCTGCCTCTTGAATGGGCGTGGTCTAGAAAAGAAAAATGTGATATTTATTTTTATTTACATACATTAATGTTTATTCATATATCATAGATGAAAAATATAGATTAAAATGTCAGTCTTACCTTTTCTAGATACATTTCGGAAGTCTCAAAGAACAGATTGACTTTCGAATCGCTATGCTCCAAAATGACTCTATTTGCTTGTTCATCTATTTTAAATATAAAATGCAAAGGTTTACAAAACGTATATGCTTAATAAAATAATCTACGAAAAAGGGGGAAATGCTTACCGGATGCAATGATCTGTTGATTCTGTTTCAAAAGTTGCATGAAACTGGCTTTTCCAACATTTGCACCTCCGAAAACTCCGATAAGTTTGGCACTTTCATTTGATCTTCCTAGGGATTCTTGCTTTGTTTTGGATATTTTTAGGCCTCGCTTGCCTCTAGTAGATTTATTAGGCCTATGCTTCGCGACCTGAGTAGAATTCTTCAGTTGGATCGCTCTTATTCTTGTTTGGTGAAGGTTTTTGGTTTTTCTGGCCCTCAAAACATCCATTAAATTAAGCTGACTGTTATTGGATCCAATATCTGCAAGCAACAGTGGGCTCGTATTTTTACCGCACTCAAGTTGTTTATATTTGTTTTTTGAACTTACATGTTCTTTATCTAAAGAAATCATCTGATCTGAAGTCGAGCATAAAACTCCTTTCTTCAAGACTGTACTACATTTTGTGATGGACATTGTGTTGTTTATCTGATACTTTCAAGCTAAAGGAATTTCCTTATATAGCGCTGAAGGCGTGTACATTGTAACGATAATTGAATAAATGTTCATTGTACCTGATAATTAAATTAGGGTTCCCTTTTTTCAATTCGTGAAAATATAATATGTAAATTTATGTATATTAATTTTCTGACTCCTTATGTTTGATGTACTTTAAAGCCATAAATATATGTAGATAATATAGCAAGCATCTTAAAAATAATTCACATTTTAAAAGAAAACTCATAGTTAAACATTAGCATAAGAAATTGTAATAGCCGTGGAACAAGTGGAGTATACATGATTATTATATTTGTTGTATAAAACCTGCACGTTAAGTTGGTTTCAATCTTTATTTGATAAAATTAGAATTAAAAAAAACATTTTTGTAGCTAAAACCAAAAAAAAAAATATTAATTTACATGTAATGTTGAGAGCAAATTACTATTGTATGTTATCAAAGATGCCATAAATGTTCGAGTAATTCGATCAACGTTACTTAAAAACTAAATAATTTTAAGTTTGGTCTTTAGGCTTTAAAAGTTTAATCCAAACAGAAACATATAATTATTTTAGATCATTTTTTATTATCTTCACCTTTTCATAGTGATCAGAAATTTTTCAATTGCTATATTGGTCGAAAAGATTTCTTTTAAAAAGTATTCAGCTCTCAAGTCATACCTCTGCTAAAAAGTGATGTCAAAGGAATTACAATGAAAAGATATCGCTTAGATAAAAAATAAATCTTGAAAAAGAACATCCCGTGATGAAGATTGTTCATATATAAATGGTCCGGGAAGTACGAGGGGGTTCATGATTAGAACAAACTTGAAATCTATAGTACCTGAGGATGCTTCCATATTTCTATGACTAATCAAGGCTTATGAAGATTTTTCAAGATTTTTTTTCAATACGTTTACCTTCTATTGTAAAACTTAATGACCCATTTGCTCCCCCACCCCCGGGGGTCATGGTTTGAACCAACATAAATTTACACTACCTGAGAATGCTTCCATATAAATAAGACTAATAAAAGGCTTTGCGATTCTAGAGAAGAAGATTTTTAAAGATTTTTCCTGTCTTCCTATGTTAAAATTTGATGACCCATTGTGGCCCCATTCTTTCTCCCAGGGGTCATGACTCAGACAAATTTGAATCTTCACTACCTGAGAATGGTTCCACATAAGTTTCAACTTTTTTGACCTGGAGGTTCATGAGAAGATTTTTAAATGATGCCATTCATTTTTCACTAATTCGTAATTATCTCATCTTGGAAGAAAGCATGGCTTTTCATTTGAACAAACTTGAATTCCCTTTATCTAAGAATACTTTGTTGCAATTATTGTTGTGGTTCTTGAGAAAAGAATGAAAATGATAAAAGTTAGCAGACAGACGGACAGACAGTTTGCTTCATGATCGGGCGGCCCAGGTCCGATTCTCTTTCTCGTCTGACCTGACACATTAACAGAGGTAGTGACTAGCCCGACACTTGAAGCACTAAAAGTGAAAGTCACGGGTCTTTCAGACGAGATCTTAAAACCGAGGCCCTGTGTCACGGTAGGCATTGGCATTATAAAAAAAATCCTCACTACTTAATGGCCCTGGATGCCGAGTAAAGGTCTAAATTTGAAGCCCTTCATCGGTATATGATGACGTCTCTACATGAGTGAGAAATTCTTGAATGGGACGTAAAACAACGTACAATCAATCAATATATTGTAAAACCTGGGTTGAGACAGTTTAGGCTTTATAAACTATTAAACGGTTTATCAAAAGCATGAACACTTCTAATCCAGATTATACAAGTATAACTTGGGTATCTATTAAAAATGTCCTATATATTTTCATTTTCTTTTATTTAATTAAAAAAAACTTCTTTCCCTTCAAAACTGACATAATTTTTTACAAAATTTAAATGAAACGCCAAGCGAATTGATACGTTTAAGAAGTCATAGGCAACACAGATTATATGATATAATCAAAATTTGTTTTCTTTCAAATTATATTGTGTGTTTAAGCCAGAATTAAATTATAGTTTTTTAAAAAGATTATTGTATTTTTAATACTGACTACTGCTCTCTGAAAAGTAAATAAAATCTTGAATACATTAAAAGATTTCTAATTTTTATAAGCACGGTGTTTCCAAATGAAAATGAATGATTGATCTGTTTTGTGAGTGATTTCAAAAACTTAATATTAAAGCATTAAAGCACGTCTTCCTTTATGCTTTACTTCTTTACACTATCATGTCATAGAAGAATAACAGTAAATATAAATACTTTCTGAAATATAAATTTCAATTTTGATTGTAAAAATGACACTTGCTTAAGTCGCCCGCGTGGCGCAGTGGTTAGATTGTCTGCTCTAGAGTCGCGGAGTAAGGAGTTGATCCATACGTCGCGGGTTCGAATCCCACTGCGGGAAGTGCAGACCGGTTCATCGGATGAGACCGTATAAACCATGGTCCCGCGTCGCAGTAGGTGCTGGCACGAAAAAGATCCCTCACTGCTCAGTGGCCCTGAGTGCCGCGTATAGTGATAGGTCAAAATTTGTAGCCCTCACCGGCAAGTAATGGCGTCTCTATATGAGTGAAAAATTCTCGAGAGGAACGTTAAACAACAAACAAACACTTGCTTAATGTTATGTTGGAGCAGTTCGAGGATGCAATGAGAACTGTAGAATTTTTTTTTTCAGCTAAGAATACATGATCTAATACCTCTTTTAAAGATACAACTTTTTGAATTTGTTTTCTAAATATATTTTTTTTATAATATCTTATTTTTGATGAATTTTCAGCGCAATATCATAAAAATGAGAAGTCATTAAAAATTAGAATGGAAGAACGTTAGTTACTGGCATCTAAATATATAATTATGTGAAAACACTAAACTGGAAAATATATTACCATCTTTGTGTTTAATTCTTTTTGAAGTAATTTGGAACGCATTTGAATATACAGGAAATAAGCTGAGACAAAGTCAGATATTGCGTGCCAGAGGTCATTTAAACTATTCGTAGAAATACATAATTGTGAAGATATTAAACTCAGTCATTCACCATTTTAATTCATTAAAGTACGTCATTTGTACGCGTTTCATACGTTTTCAAAAATCATGTAAGTGACATGGTACCCTAAGGATTCATATTTGTCTATGAAATTTTTCTGTCCGTTTCACGATTTTTATATTTCTGTCCTTACGACTTTTCAACACTTTATACAACCATTCCCCACGATAAATTAAAGTCCAGGTTTTTGACATCTGCTTTTTCAATAAAAATGGAACTCGAAAATTCACTTACCTTGTCATTGGTAATTTGAAAAAGAAATCTGATTGTACGTAAATTACATTTAAAAATAGTTTACCATTGACAAAGCTATTGACAGACAAGATGATGAAACAAGAGGCCCATGGGTCACAACGCTCACCTGAGTCACTTTGGTCCTGTTGTTTTTCATAAGATTTTTCCTCTTGTAATTCTTTGATTCCCTATTGGGACCCAACCCTAACCCAGGAGAGCCATGATTTGAACAATTTATAATATACACTTTTCAGGAAGCTTCCTAGTTTTCAGCTTTACTGGTCGAGTGGTTCTCGTGAAGAGTTTTTTTCCTTTGATTTTCCCATGATTTGATCAATTTAGAATCTACACTACCTCAGGAAGCTTCCTCTTAAGTTTCAGCTCTACTGGCCCAGTGGTTCTTGAGAAGAAGCTTTTAAAAGATTTTTCTATATCTTTCAATGGGAAAATTTTGATTCCCTATTGTGGCCCCACCCTAGCCCCGGGGGACATGATTTGAACAATTTAGAATCAACACTTCCTTAGGAAGCTTCTTCTTAAGTTTCAGCTTTACTGGCCAAGAGGTTCTTGAGAAGAAGATTTTTTTCCTACATATTTTTATGTAAAACTTTGATTACTTATTGCGGCCCCACCCTAACTCCGGGGGTCATGATTTGAACAATTTAGAATTTAAATTACCTCAGGAATCTTACACATATGTTTCAACTTACCTAGGCAAGTGAATTTTGAGAAAAAAAATTTAAACATTTTTCCTATATATTTCAATGTTAAACTTTGATTCCCTATTGGGGCCCCACCCTAGCCCCAGCGGCCATGATTTGAACAGTTTAGAATCTACACTTCCTCAGTTCCTATTTTTGTCTTTTCTTGATTATCTCCTTTTACAAGGGGTCTTGGCCTTTTCTTTAAACAATTTAAACTCCCCTTATCCCAAGGATGCTTTGTACCAACTTTGGTTCAAATTGGCCCAGTGGATCTTGAGAAGAAGTTGGAAAACGTGAAAAGTTTACAGACGGACAACGGGTGATCAGAAAAACTCGCCTGAACTTTCAGCTCAGGTTAGCTAAAAAGGATATCAACAGTCTCGTTTAAAGTCATAATTTTGCAAGTTCTATTGTAGATACAATGACCGTGTCAGCAAATACAATCTATCATTAAGTCAAATGCTGACTGATGTTTCTCATACTAATTGTTTGACCATTATTTACACACTGAATTGTTTACGATTTTTCCGTTTGCCCGATCATGACAAGGAGCACACAGCGGGTGATACACAACTCACCCATTTTTGGCAGACCTCCCATCAGACCACGAGATCTGAAGTAGAACTTTATCTGGGGACTATAAGCATGGTGTGCAACCTTTGAACTTGTGGTTATTATCACGATGAAAAAAGGCATGGTAAAACAATAACTAGGATAATTGTAACGTTAATGTGTACATCTGTAAACAAGAGGCCCAAGGGCCTTAACGGTCACCTGAGTATAATACAAAAATTTAAAGGATGCATAGAGTATAAAATGAACTGAAAGGTGATGCTTTGTTGCCCAAAAGCAAGAAAAATAGGGTGATCAGGATCAACAAAATAGTTAGTCTTAGTATTCATTAACAGTTCGTAAATTAGGTTCTAATCTGTTCCCCAATAATCACTATCACCATACAGTATGTTAACAAACTAT